GCCTGCCTTAAAGATCGGGTTGAACAAACCGGCGAACCGTATTTCGTTATAGAGCCTTGCCTTGAAGATGTTATACAGAGAATGAGCGTAACAGAGAATCGGGTCGCAGATAATCGTTCTGAGAGTACAGAGCGTGAGCCGTCATATGGTGAGGCCGATATTTCATCTTCGATATTTCAACAACAAGCACCGATATTCCCATCTACGTCTAAAACCATGGGGAATCGGGTTGCAAATATTCAACCGCTCCATTCGAATCTACCGAGGTTGAACCATTATCTCAACAGCAACAGGCTTCTATATTTCCATCTACATCCGAAATAATACGGACAGCAGGCTTCTATATTCCCTATTGCACCTCTGACTACAACGTTATCATCATCATTTGAACGAGAAAATACCGAAACTGAAGCAAACCATATTTTGCAAATAGTAGAAGAAATCATATCACAGACTAGTGAAGAAGAGAAGGAGGGATATGAAGAAAGGAGGGATATGAGGAAAAAGAAGAATTCAAGTCAAGACAATCTTGTAAGTATAATCTATATTATGATTGATTATTTAAATTTTACTATTATAGATGAATACATTGTTACTATTATTATTTTTATTGTTGTTATTGTTAGTTATTATCATTCTTATTATTATCGAAAATTAACACGTGTATTTATCATCTTTCCATTTTAGACGAACAGATGAAAGAAGAACTCGAACGGATGCGTGAAGATCGCACATGTAAAGTGTGCATGGACAGTGAAATAGCTATAGTGTTTCTTCCGTGCTCGCATATGGTTACGTGCGTTTCCTGTGCTGTATCCCTGAGACAGTGCCCCATCTGTAGAAGAGACATCAAACATGTGTGCAGAGCTATTGTATCCTAATAATATTCACATATAACGTGATACTCAGACACATATACACACGTAATAATATATACGCGATAAACGTGTATATAAACTCTTAGCAATAAATAACAACGATGATTATATACAAGATAATAAATATTATTACCTGACAGTGAGAGAAGGCGGAAAGATATACTATTCGTCTATGGTGAGAACACTAAGTTTAAAAAAAAATATCACGATAAACGTGAATATAATTTTAATAACAACGATGACTATATGAGACAACGAAAAACATTACCTGACAATGAGAGAATATGGAAAGATATACTATTCATCAATGGTGGGATTACTGAACGCACTGACAGAAGCCGGTTATCCGATATCGACACATGATCTTTCTGACAGAGACGGCATTAAATCGTCGTACAGAGGACGATGGCGTAATAATAAACCCATGCGTCTGAAGAAGCTCTCTGTTTAACGTTATACTGCGCACTGGGATTATTGATGGAAAAGGGAATAACCGTAAATCTGAAGAGATCTAATGCTGCAGAATATCTGTTACATTTCCCTACAGTGAAAGTCGAAGTCAGACCAAATTGTGAAACCAATACCATCGTGAGAGGGAGAATACAAAGAAACGACGATCGCGTCGCTATTGGCGATGAACCTTTAAATACTAGCGACATCTATAACGGCGGAAAGGCGTATGTGTATCAAAGTAGAGCGCTATATTCTCACAGCAGCGGTCATTTGAAAACTGTTATCATCGAAAGTAAAGGACGAGGACAATCAGCGAACGATACTCTTTCAACTGTTTTATATGTAGATTCCTATGACAGAAGTCGGTTACCTGATATCATTGAGGACATTGCGAAATATCCTTTGAAGTTTTTCAGAGCTATAATACTGAGAGGTAAGCTACTCTAATTACAATAATGTATGACTATATTGATTATAAGCTCCTGTTTTTTGGTGAAGATGTCATTCACCGCATACAGCAGATACGGAGACAAGCGTTCTTTGTCACTAACGGTATAAGAAAAGTACAGGAACATGACAATTTGCTATTTTCAAAAAAGAAGATATATACCGTGAACAATGTCATGGAACTAGCATCGTGTACTGCAAGTGACGATGATGCTGATGCTGATACAAACAATCCTATACACACATACACAATTAGTGCTTTAACGTACGGTATTTTGAACGAAGGCTGGAGTGAATCTACCATGAGGCGTATAGAGAACGAATTGGTAGAAAGGTGTCTTATTCACAAATATATTACGGAGGAAGAATATAAATGCCACAGGAAAAATCACAACGATAGTGACAACGATAGAGTAAGAATTATAGTATTCCATATATAATAGATTTCTTGTGGAATATGTGTTATTTTAATAAATTGTATCGCGACAGACATCTGAAAAAATATACGACATTAAAGCTGATTGAAAGGAGTACATTATCGATGTCCAGAAACGCCTTGATTAAACATGATTTATCCTTTTTTCACTTACCGACCGCAGCCGGAATTGCGATCTATGAGTACCTCACAGACAGAGATACAAATTTAAGATTAGTAAAAGAAGCAGCAAGGATGCTAGTAGCTGAAGAAAAATATCTTCGATATTCAAGAAATATAAGAAATACCATAGAAGATGATACAACAAACAAGAAGAAGAATATTCGTCTGATTTATGCTAGCAAGAGAAGTAAAACGAGTTGTGCACTACTGTTATGCAAATCTGCATCTAAAATCGATCACTCTAAGAAGAATACAAAGAGTAAATTGTTCAACCTACAGTGGTTATTCAATGTAACCGACATACAAGACCAAAAGTTCAAGAAGTGTCTGGGTGTCGTATATGATAGCGTAGATGTAGGCGATATGCTACCCAATACTAGTCTGAGTCAGAAGAGCAAACCACTCGACTGGTACTATCGAAATATGAACACCGATACTGTCCCCTTCGATCAACATAACGGGTATCCAGAGTTTAGGCGATATCACCGTGAGGAAGAAAATGAAGAGAAAGAACACATATACCATAATATCAATGAAGAGAACACTTACGTTATAATGGATAAAAATACAAATACTAATAATCGTGTGACACCAACTACATTGTCAGATACCAACGTTAACAATGTACAGATATACAGTGAGATGCAAACAGATTACAGGCTATAAAGAAAAAAATGGATACTATAAGGAAAAGAAAAATAATAATAACAATAACGGTATTATTAATAACAGCAACAACCACAATACACCAAAGAAACAACACCTGTCATAGTTCCAAATGATGTAAAATATGACGTTCCCCCGAAATATATGTCAAGGTGTATTTGAAATTGACAAGTCGATGAAGCATTATAACACTTTACCCGATGATAAGAAAAAGAATAGAATTCACAGGACGGAGACGGTTACGCCAATAGTACCTTCGTCATCGATGATGTCGTCATCCGTCTCTGTCTACGACATACCCAAAAAGGCAACAACAAGCATCTATAACTGCAAGAGCTTAATGATTCGATGCCGTAAATGTCAAAAATACAACATATCGCCGTGTGTCGTAAAGTGCAATGGATGTCCATGTTAGCGCAGTACCAGCGGGCACGGAGGAAAAGAAATGTGTTGCACGATGAGGTAAATAGATTCACATCTTTCTATCTGTACATATCGATCTCTCAGTTGCCCACTCACTGCCGATCCAACCCAGCCGATAAAAAGTTAGCATCATGAATAGCTACAGCGTTAAATGTAAAAGTTTGAGATACGAATCAGAACGATTGTTAACGTTCATTAATTGGCCCTTTGGGAGTTTAGCGAAATACCAGCTTTTAAGGTGTGTCCTCTTTTAAAATATGTCCACTTTTAAGACATGTCCAGCTTTTAAGGTGTGTCCTCTTTTAAAATATGTCCACTTTTAAGACATGTCCAGCTTTTAAGGTGTGTCCTCTTTTAAAATATGTAAAATCACATTATAGTATATCAGAATTTGTCTGTTGCCCCATCGAAACGATAAATTGATCACGATCCTTGAATCTACAGCAATACATATTCTATTCTTACGATTCGTCTTTATTGAGTCGTGTTTATCATAATCACGGAAAGTAGCCGTTTAAACTTACTTTGAGAGTTGGATATGTCTGAAAAATGGACATGTTTCAAAATATGGACGTTTTAAAATATGGACATGTCTTAAAAGCTGGACATGTCTTAAAAGTGGACATATTTTAAAAGAGGACACACCTTAAAAGCTGGACATGTCTTAAAAGTGGACATATTTTAAAAGAGGACACACCTTAAAAGCTGGACATGTCTTAAAAGTGGACATATTTTAAAAGAGGACACACCTTAAAAGCTGGACATGTCTTAAAAGTGGACATATTTTAAAAGAGGACACACCTTAAAAGCTGGACATGTCTTAAAAGTGGACATATTTTAAATGAGGACACACCTTAAAAGCTGGACATGTCTTAAAAGTGGACATATTTTAAAAGAGGACACACCTTAAAAGCTGGACATGCTTTAAAAGTGGACACACCTTATAAACTGGACATGCTTTAAAAGTGGACACACCTTATAAACTGGACATGTTTTAAAACTGGACATGTCTTAAAAGTGGACATATTTTAAAAGAGGACACACCTTAAAAACTGGACATGTCTTAAAAGTGGACACATCTAAGGTGTATCCTCTTTTAAAATATGTCCACTTTTAAAACATGTCCAGTTTAATTCCTTTTAAGACATGTCCAGTTTATAAGGTGTGTCCACTTTTAAGACATGTCCAGTTTGTAAGGTGTGTCCACTTTTAAAACATGTCCACTTTTAAGACATGTCCAGTTTTTAAGATGTGTCCACTTTTAAAACATGTCCAGTTTTTAAAGTGCGTCCTCTTTTAAAAGTGGACACATCTTAAAACTGGAATACGTATTTAGAAACATGGCCTAGCTATATAAACACCGACTGATAATATAAAGTTAGACTCGACTCGACTCTCTCCTCCTCCTCCGGTTCCTGTACTTTTAAGTGTAGTGTAAGTAATTTTTTTTTAAATCGGAAGATCGGGAGAATATCTCTAATTCGTCCATAAGAAATGTTTTCATAGCCAGTGCCAGATCAATGTAACCGAAGACGATGGATATATCACATCCTAACAGTTTTCTGCAGCAGGAAGAGTATCGGTTAACCACGTTCAGCGAACATGAGATATCTCCCATCGATACCACTATAGTGTACAGGGACATGCCGTTTGTCGGCTACGATTGTCTGAGATACGAAGAAAAGCGATTAGGAACCTTCATCGACTGGCCTCATGAATGGCTGAAACCGTCAGAATTGGCGGCCGACGGATTTTATTATCTCAGGAAAGATGATCACTGTGCGTGTATCTTCTGCAGAGGGATAGTTGGAACCTGGGAAAAAACTGGCACGCCAAGAGGAGAACATCAACGCCATTTTCCCCAATGTCCCTTTATTAGGGGTCAGCCAACTGGAAATGTTCCCATTGTTCAAGGCAATATCTTAGCCAGGTTACCGGTACTACATCCGAGTCTGGACGATTGCGGATCAAGACGTGTTGAGGCCGACGCTTGCAGATTTTCGTCAAGACATATGGCCGGATCGTATCCGAATGCAGTGAGTAGTTGGTATCTTTTATCGCTGATTAGTATTTATGAACACTGTATATAACTCTTTACCCGTGAGCTCAATCCAGATTTATTCCCTGCTATCGCTTCGTCTCACAGGAGGATCTCCGGATGAAACTGGTCTCTACCAGCATTCTAGACCGAAACGAAGTGATTTCACGACACTAGATAGCCGATTGAAGAGCTATGTCGAAGGATGGCCCATCCTCGGTCTGCATGCACAAGATCTTGCCGAAGCTGGATTTTTCTACTGTGGTACAACGTTTTTATATATATATGTATATATATGCGTTTACGTGTATCGGTAATAGTAGATTCATTACAGGTGTTAATATTGATAACAGCATCAGCTTATTAAGATCTCTGGAATTGATTGCGTTTTCTCTATCAAAGAAGCATAAATACTTTTGCAAAAGAAACACAGTTACCGTATTATATACATAGGTCTGAGTGATCATGTTCGCTGTTTCCACTGCGGTAAGGTCTTCGCAATTGGATATCTAGCGACATACCTTGGAAGGAACCACGCTAGATGGTATCCTAAATGCAGATTTGTCTTATTGAAGAAAGGCCAGGACTATATCAATGAAGTATGTATACGCCTCTTAATTGTATCTTATTTTGCTGGATATTTTTATTAATTGTTGTTTTATTATCGTTATTATTAGATTACTATTACTATGATGTTAACACTGTTATAATTTCTTTTAGGTCCAGCGAGAATATTCACCGTACACCCGCACAGCGATACTGTATATTCGGGTATCGATAAGGCTGCTTCCGGTAGCAGTAATAATCCAACGGAGGTGCAATCCGTATCCGAACAAGAATTGGATCTGTTGATGAGTTTGGATGTCGTCAAGTGTGTACTGGAAATGGGATATCCTAGTTGTATAGTCGGGCCCTGCCTTAAAGATCGGGTTGAACAAACCGGCGAACCGTATTCGTTATAGAGCCTTGCCTTGAAGATGTTATACAGAGAATGAGCGTTAACAGAGAATCGGGTCGCAGATAATCGTTTGAGAGTTACAGAGCGTGAGCCGTCAATATGTGACAGGCGATATTTCATCTCCGATATTTCAACAACAAAGCACGATATTCCCATCTACGTATAAAACAAAGGGGGAATCGGGTTGCAAATATTCAACCGCTCCATTCGAATCTACCGAGGTTGAACATTATCCAACAGCAACAGGCTTCTATAGTTCCATATACATCCGAAATAATCGACAGCAGGCTTCTAAATCCCTATTGCACCTCTGAATACAACGTTACATATCATTTGAAACGAGAAAAATACCGAAAATGAAAGCAAAACAATTTTGCAAATAGTAGAGAAAATCATATCACAGACTAGTGAAGAAGAGAAGGAGGGATATGAAGAAAAAGGAGGGATATGAGGAAAAGAAGAATTCAAGTCAAGACAAGTTGTAAGTAAATTATCTTATGATTGATATTTAAATTTTACTATATAGAGCATACATTGTTACTATATTATTTTTATTGTTGTTATTGTTAGTTATATCATTCTTATTATATCGAAATAACACGTGTATTTATCATCTTTCCATTTTAGACGAGCCAGATGAAAGAAAGGAACTCGAACGGCATGCGTGAAGATCGCACATGTAAAGTGTGCATGGACAGTGAAAAGCTATAGTGTTTTTCCGTGCTCGCATATGGTTACGTGCGTTTCCTGTGCGTATCCACTGAGACGTGCCCCTCTGTACGAAGAGAATCAAACATGTGTGCAGAGCTATTGTATCCTATAAAATTCACATACTTAACGTGATACTCGACACATAGACACACGTAATAATATATACGCGATAAACGTGTATATAACCTTAGCAATAAACTAAACAACGATGATTATATTACAAGATAAATAAATATTTACCTGACAGTGAGAGAAGCGGAAAGATTCTACATTCGTCTATGGTGAGAACACTTAAGTTTAAAAAAAAAATATCCGATAAACGTGAATATAATTTAATAACACCTTGACTATATGAGACAACGAAAAACATTACCTGCAAGAGAGAGAATCTGGAAGAACATAGATCATCAATGGTGGATTACGAACGCACTGACAGAAGCCGAGGTTATCCGATATCGACAAATGATCTTTCTGCCGAGACGGCATTAATCGTTCGTACAGAGACGATGGCGTCATATAACCATGCGTCTGAAGAAGCTCTCTGTTTAAACGATACTGCGCACTGGGATTATGATGAAAAGGGAATACCGTAAAATCTGAAGAGATTAATGCTGCAGAATATCTTTTACATTTCCTACAGTCTGAAAGTCGAAGTCAGACCAAATGTGAAACCACTACCATCGTGAGGGGGAGAAATACAAAGGAAACGACGATCGCGTTCGTATGCCGATGACCTGTAAATATAGCGCCATCTATAACGGCGGAAAGGCGTATGGGTATCAAAAGTAGAAGCGCTATATTTCACAGCGGCGGCATTTGAAACCTGTTATCATCGAAAGTAAAGGACGAGGACAATCAGCGAACGCTAACTCTTTAACTGTTTTATATGTAGATTCCTATGACGAAGTCGGTTCCTGATACATTGAGGACATTGGCGAACATATCTTGAAGTTTTCAGGCAAATACTGAGAGGTAAGCTACTCTAATACATTAATGTATGACTTATTGATTATAGCTCCGGTTTTTGGTGAAATGTCATGCACCGCATACAGCAGATACGGAGACAAGCGTTCTTTGTCACTAACGGTATAAGAAAAGTACAGGAACATGACAATTTGCTATTTCAAAAAAGAAGATATATACCGTGAACAATGTCATGGAACTAGCATCGTGTACTGCAAGTGACGATGATGCTGAGTGCTGATACAAAACAATCCTATACACACATACACAATTAGTGCTTTAACGTACGGTATTTTGAACGAAGGCTGGAGTGAATCTACATGAGGCGTCGTTATAGAGAACGAATTGTAGAGTAAGGTTGTCTTGTCACAAAATTATTACGGAGGAAAGAAGGAAGGAAAAAATGCCCAGGGAAAAATCACAACGATTAGGTGCAAAGAAAGAGTAAGACAATTCTAGTATTCAATAATAGATTTTCTTGTGGAATAATTGTGTTATTTTAATAAATTGTATCGCGACAGACATCTGAAAACATATACGACATTAAAGCTGATTGATAAGAGGTACATTTCGATGTCCAGAAACGCCTGATTAAACATGATTTATCATTTTTTCACTACCGACCCGACAGCCGGAAATTGCGATCTATGAGTACCTCAAGACAGAGATACAAATTTTAAGATTAGGAAAAGAAGCAGGCAAGGATGGGATGCTAGTAGCTGAAAAGAAAAATATCTTCGATCATATTCAAGAAAATCTAAGAAATACCATAGAAGATTAACAACAAACAAGAAGAAGAATATCGTCTGATTTATGCTAGCAAGAGAAGTTTTAAAACGAGTTGTTCACTTACTGTTATGCAAATTCTGACATCTAAAATCGATCACTCTAAGAAGAATACAAAGAGTAAATGGGTCAACATACAGTGGCTATTCAATGTAACCGCATACAAGACCAAAAGTTCAAGAAGTGTTGGGTGTAGTATATGATAGGCGTAGTGTAGGCGATATGTACCCCATACTAGTCTGAGTCAGAAAGAGCAAACCACTCGACTGGTACTATGCGAATTATGAACAAA